ACAAGGAGAGAAGTTTTCAAAATTAAATGACCAATACCAGCTGGTCTTTACAGGCATTCAGAAACAAAGGAAAAAAAACATTAATAAAGGAGTAAGTTTAATGACTAAAGTGATACTGTGCCGACTAATCATTCAAAATGAAGTTAAAGAGACAGACCTTCATTGTACGAGAGAAAAAGGTGGATGGTAAAGAAGACCACCATCTCACTGAAAAAATCAAAGAAAACAAATTAATGGCAAAACATGTTAAGCATATTTCAGAGTAGAGGTAAGACTGTAACTTGACATAGTCCTTCATAATAACCAGACTAAATCAACAGATTCCATTCATATGTAGAACAAGCACCTAAGGTCAGTAAACCAGATAGAGACAATAACCTGTATCCATTCCAACAACAATTGTTCTCACTAGGTTAATTCTGAATTTTCTTTGTTTCCAATCTACCTCTTTAATCACGGACAAAAAAGCAATCAAATTTAAATTGGCTCCAAAAAAGACTGAAGTTAGAACCATGACATACAGTTACATAAGTTTACCCACTGACATGATTTTCGAACATTTTCATGTCTGGCAAACTTACTTAACACTTTTCTGGCATCTGTTGATAATCGTAAGATGGCTTCACTGAATGGAATGACAATATTTTCAAACTGTTCACCATTTTGATAAACAGAACATTCTGGAAGAAGTAAATAGACTCTGAGGGCTTCAATGTCTGGAGGTGGTTGAAGGAGGGAGTGAATGACACCATGTGTAAAGGCAGCAAACAACTGTGGAACAACAAAACAACAATGTTATAGAAAATGTTGCTGTTCATCAGGGTTTTGTGGAGACATCTAATCTACCATAAACATTTAACCCTTAAACCCCAGAAGTGATCAAAATGAAACTTCTCCCAATAATATTCTTACATTATCCCATAAACAGCTAAAGAGAATATTCAAACTTATCAAGTGGAGGTCATTGTCTTGATCTAACACCAAATTCTCAATCCTCATTCACAAAGATATGTGTAGCAGCTAGAGGGGAGAATTATCAATCAGATCTTGGGAGTTTAGGGGTTAATTATATGTCTCACAATGCAGTTAGGCCATCAATTGTATTGATCGTGACCTTTTGCCTGCTATACTGCCAGTCTTCATTAGGCAATTAGGTTGAAAGTTTACATGTTGATATTAAGAGCACTTTGGTCTGCTGCTATTTGTGTGTTTTGGGAACAACATTTAGTACTCAGATTAATAATGAGGATCAAAATACACCAATGACAGCACACTCAATTTATCAGAAATACTGTTTAAGCTACTTTAAGTTGGTCATTCTCTGAGGCTTCCCTCTAAAACCATGACTACTCCAAGCATGGAAAAATGATAATGGTATCTTTAAAGTTACACAAATTTACCTTTGTAACAATTGCCTTGTGCTTCATTCCATTGAGCAGATCAAAGGAGCGTCTTGCAGATTGTAGATGAATGCCGTGGATTTTAGAGCTTGTTTGTTCATGGTTTCGTCTGAAAATACAGAAAGAAAAATACAAAGTTCTATGTATTATGCAATTTGCACTCTGATTAAGGTCAGCAGAGTTTTTGTAAATTTTTAAGTTACTTTAAGGAGTAGTCTTCATAAACTGTATAATTTTTGTTTTCATCATAGAAAAGTAGATACATCATGATATTAAGACACTGATTCTGGACAAATGGACTAACCAACAAGTGTGTGCCACAGACCAGTGTGCATATTTCTCGCACATTTGGGACAAAAATTATTGGTGCACATGAAAAACATTTAGGAATTATATTTCATTGTAAAAAATCAATCTCTCGTTAAAGCTACATCATGTACAGGATTGATTCATTCACTTGTTGACTAAGTGGATAAAAAGCATAATTATAACATACAAATAATTGCACAAGAGTGCACTGTACATGTATTTATGGAAGAGACAGTGAATGAAATTTTCATTATCATGTTTCACGTTCACCAACTGGCAAACTGATGAATGATTAAAAACATTGTGATGCCTTCATAAGCTACTTTCAGCCTTACAAGCTTGGGCACCGACCTGAATACTGATTGTGTCATATAAACTACAAAAAAACTCACAAATTGAAAAAAATTTAAACAGATTTAGGTGCCTTACCTATCCAAAAATGATCCATTCAAACATGAATAGGATGAGAAAGTTGTCTCTAATTTACTGTTATGAAAAGAAGGAAACAGTTCATAGTTATTACTAAGCAATATCTCAAGTAAGGAAACAACCCCACACAGTATTTCATGGCTACTACTTCCTTCCTTTCTTTCCCAATTTAGCAAAAAGGGATTTTTATTCCATAAACTCAAATTCCTAAATCATTTCATTTAGTCACCAAACTCAAACCTTCAAAGCAAATTGAAAAAGGACTCGGTTATCCAGAGTTGAAAATAAATGACTGGAAATAAGGAAGAATTGAGATAACTGTTTTGCACTCCAGGCATACAATCTACTTTATACTGTATGTCTTGGGTAGAAAACAGTAAGTCAAGGATCTATTCAAATGTTATAAGTCGGAGGGTAAAGAGAAGTCAATTGATATAGGTGTGGAACATCAGGTTTCTAAATTACTGTAGTTATAAATCACAACACAGCACAACATGAAACAAAACAGAGCAAAACAGCAAGGAAGGTCCAAGTAATGTAACCTTTGCAGGTTTCAAAGAAAATAAATCTTTCAACAGAGTTCAAGCAATTCACATTTTTTAAAGTAATAATGGCCATGGCTTCAGACTACAATAAACTGTTTATTTGAGGAAAAAATTCTGAAGAGAAAATGGTCTGAAGTGGAAGGGAAATTATAATTTCTTTGAAGCTCAAGAGAGGTTCAAGTTATCAAGGATTTCAGTTGTTAAGGAAGAATTTATAATAATTGTAAATGTACAGTTTACAACATAAATCTAAGGGAAATCGAATTTGACTGAAGTTATCAAAAGGTTGGAAGGAGTGAGGGATCTAGTTATTACTACCCTATCCACCAGATAGCATTTTTTTCCAGTGGATAGTGTTATTGAACAACCAGGGCCTATAGTTCATAATGACTCACTGAAAAATCTCGGTTGAAGGATTGGGAAGTGACAACTGTTGAACCAACTCCAGTACACTAGACTCTGTAAATGTCCACAGGTGTTTAGAACGGTCTTGAACCCGGAAATCACAAGGACTGCAGTCGTCCTGATTCTGAACAAAAAATGTTAATTAAAAGTAAAATATACATGACAGTATGAATTGAATAATAATTCAAGCTCTGCACTCAATAAGCTCGCTTCACTTTGCCTCTAGAAACTCTTACACTCCTCTTGTTCTCTTGCTAACCATGAACCAATTGCAAAGTACACTGTGACTGACCTTTGTTGAACCACACCCAAAGTACCACTTGCAGAAAGTTACCTGTATTATGCATGTAGCCACTTACCTTTTTTGATACAAGAATATAGCAGTGGTCACCACCTGCAGCTATTCTATGGACAACATAGTGATTCTCAGGTTTAACTTTCACCCAACTGTTGTGAACAGCAACAGGGCTATTGATATTTGTGACTTTGTTATTGCCCAGTTGGCCATTCTCTCCAGAACCAAATGAGAACAGCTTTCCTGATGATGCAACATAAGCCAGTGTGTGAAACCTGCATCAAAGTAAATTTTATGTCACTCTAAGAAACAAGAAAATGATTCAAAACTTCCTTCCAAGAATGAAATCATTTTCTGAGCATAAACTATCAATTGAAAATAAATTATCAAAAGTTACTCCAATGTAACAAATAATCATACCTTCCACAGGCAACTTGTGTCACCACTTGTCCCATTAGTTCAAACACCTAATAAAAGTATATGTTATGAGTACTCTTGATTGCTCTGCATTTCCTCCTGCTGCCATTTAACTGAATTTATGATACATGCAAGTCACTCTCAACTGAAAAACATCTTTTTTCTTCTACCAATAAAAAACTTAAGGATTATACACAATCAACACTGAAATTTCAAATACCACTGAGATTTGTAGCACGTGGTCCTTAACTCATTTTTGCAAATAAATTATTCAGACTGGAATTAATTTGCTAAGAAAAGAAAACCCATGATTTAGATGTTTTGTTTTACATCACAATTGAATGCCAATAATGAAGTTCAAGTAGTTCTAACATAATCAGTTACATGTGTGTATGATCATGCAGAAGGCTCTTTCAGAGATGAAGTTCAAATGCCTGCCTCATCTTCCATCACTTCTCTATCTCAGGAAGTGAAAACCATTTTTAGTGACCATCTGCTTTCAGGCTTGCAGAGACTACACCTATCTTTTAAGAAATATTTTTTCAGTAAAAAGTTCAAGTACCTTTTTAGGATTACATTCATCAGTATTAGAGTTATGTCCAAGTTGACCAAAATTGCCCCAACCAAATGTAAACACCCCTCCATCCTGCAATGTATAAGAAAACATATTACACAGAGCTATAAAATATCAACTGTTTAAAAATCATGTCAAACACATAATCATAAGACTACAGTGCAATTCTACTGCAACAAATAATTTTAAAAAATTTAGTATTTAAGTTCTACTATGGCTCCCCTCGGATAAGGTCTACATGTATTTTACTGGTTCCTAGTTAAGTTCTTGGGCTTCACTTAGTGAGAAGAATTTCTTCTCCTGTCGGATAGTAACCCAATCCAATATTTGATGAGGGTAGCCAATGAGCTTTACTTCAGGTTTCCCTGACAGTCTGCCAGCACTTACTTTTCACTAAATAGTTTAAAAACTCCTCTCTCTCCTGGGTGGAGATGGGCACTGTGAAATATCCACTCAAAGTTATACTCTAGGAACCACCAGATGCTTGGAGATATCAGTCTTACAAATCTTAATTGCTTAATTGCTTCTTAAAGGTCCTTGTAACTTAAATGGGTCCACAAAGCTGTTCTGTTTTCATTCAAAATGGGGGTTTCAAAAGTTTTGAAAATTATGTAATAACAGTATTAGCTAAAGGAACAAATTAGGATGCCAGAACCTGTTTCTCTATTCTTTACATTTTGATTTTAAAAACTGGCTTCAGTCTGTTAAGTTACCAAGCCTTTCAAGAAACGGATACACAACTCTCAAAGTTACATTAAAGTTATAAAAAAAAGGGTTAAAATTAGTCACCAGTGGCACCCAGGATCTACTTGAGCACAGCCCTTAGAATGCAGTAGGATATTCCATAGCTTAAACCTTTAACCCCTAAGGGTAACTATCATCTAATTCCTCCATACAATCCCTACAATATCACCCTTGAATCACACATAAAGGTTACAAGAATAAAAGAAATGATCACTATCTGAGGAAATTCTTAATTGTTGGACAAATTCTCCTTCTCAGCATCTTAATAAATGTACTGAGAACAATATGGAGAATATGCATACTGACCTTAGGGTGTAAAGGGTTAAACCTGGACCGTAAGATCCACAAAGGGTTCCACACAGTTAACAGAGGGTCACAGGGATCCCCTTTGATAGCACTACATGAGCACATGTTGCCTTAGCTTCAAAGCAGCCAACCAAAGAATTAGCTTATACACTCTACCTCTGTCAAGGCAGCTGTATGATACTCTCCTGCTGTGACATAGCGCACCCTTTGTGATCTTAAGGACTTCACAAGTACAGGCATAGAATGATCTAAAAGAAGTTTGCCAAGTTTCAAAATAAATTGCAAGCCTAAATTGCTTGATTGTTTTACTTTTTTAAAATAGTTTTCTAATTTCCTAATAAATAGTTAGCCTTAAAGTATCAAACAACTTTTACTTAATACTGTAATGTAGTATCTAAATCATTTTTAATTGCATTTAACTGTGAACATTTTTTAACCAATGAGCACATTGTATCAATTGTAAGATTTAACCCTTTTACTCCTAACACTGACTAGCATCAAATTTCTCACTACAATATCACCCCTGAATCAAACTTGAAGAGCACAAGAATAAAGGAGGTGATAACCAGCTAAAGGAGTCCTTCACTGTTAAACAAATTCTCTCTGTCAGCATGTTAGGAAATGTATAGAGAACAGTGTAGAGAATATGCATACTGATTTTAGGGCATAAATAGTTAACATCAAAATGAATGAGAGATAGCAGGGCAAAATGGAGAACTACACACACCTTTGTTGTCATTTATTCCCAGTTGGCCAAAGCTAAAAAGAGAAAAAATGGGCATGTTATAAACAAGTTTCCCTCAATCATCAATAAAGGGAAAAATTGTGGAACTTTACTGACTTGTTTCTCCCCCAGCTAAAGAGTGCTCCAGAGAGTGACAAGGCAAAGCTGTGATATCCACCGGCACAGATCAAAGCAAAGGGAACCCCACACAAAGAAGACACATGTTCAGGTACATTGTGCACTGGACTTGAATTGCCAATTCCTAGCTGTCCGTGTTTGTTATCACCCCAAGAAAACAAGAATCCACCTACATAACAAAAGAACAATTATTTAACCATTTCACTTCCAGGAGTCACTGACATGGATTTTTTTCCTTGCAATATTCATACATGTTCAAGCAGAAAGGTTGTGAGAGGAAAAAATAATAACAATGAGGGAATATCATAGCAACACTGTAATTGATTTAACATCAATTCTTAGGACTAGAATCATACACAACATATCAAATCACTAAGGAAAATACATTTTGCAACAATTGTGGAAGAACAGTGGTTCTGACCCACTAACAAAATGACTTGCACTCAATGTGTACCCACACTTGTACTTGAACTCAAAATCTATGATCGAGTGACTCCACCGAAAAACTCTGTTTCTAAAATACACATTTTCATGTAAAAAAGCACTAATCAATATGAAGTTAAAAAAAGTTGTTCCAAATTAATTAAAAACAAAGGATGTTTTAGGATTGGTATGTCTAAAACTTCTATCTTAAAACAAAAATGGAGAATTGTTGGCAAAAATTGAGCTTATGGTGCACTGTTATTTTCTTTTATGACTAATATCATTTTGTTAAATTACTGGACACTGACAAAAAGAAACCATGTGAGGACAGCTTTGAATTTAGTGTTTACCTGTACTGAGTGCTAAAGAATGCCTTGCTCCACAAGCAACTTGTGATACCATCACACCATCAGACTGGAGACTTCTAACAATTCTAAACAAGTAAAAGACCATGAACAAGTTTAAATCAAGCAATGCTAAAGAATAAACTCTGCACAGGTGTGTTACAGTTGTCAAGAATATTGAGACTGACAACTGGACTCCAGGCACAGGGTCCATATTTGTGACATGGCCAGGTCAATGTGTTGCATTCTTGAACAAAAAAACTATCCTCTCACAGTGCCACTCTCCACCAAGGAGCATAAATGGGTACCAGTGAAATTGTCAGGGAAGCCTGATCAAATGCTGGGTTGTTATCTTGTGATGGACCAGCCATCTATTCAGGAATAGGGGGAATAGTCATACTCCTAGTCACTTCATTTATATTAAGAAAACCAGCATAAGCTCTGGCTGGATGGACAACTTAGCTTCTGGTACAGACTTAATCACCCAAAATTTATAACGAGACTGAGAGGACATACAGCATCTTAAGAACTACACACCTACAATTGTTATGATATCATAATTTATTATGACTTTTAAGAAAATACAATGAAAAATCATAGAAAAAGTATATTGTATCTATATCACAAAAAATACTCAACACCCATGATGTTTTAATAGCAAGTTCCGACTAATAATTTAGGACAGGGGAGGGGGGTGTTAGCATATGACTAATAATTTAGGACGGGGGGAGGGGGGTGTTAGCATATGACTAATAATTTAGGATGGGGGAGGGGGGGTGTTAGCATATGAACAGAATGCAGAATCAGATCATCCTGTAGGAGAAATTAGGGAGGAGGGGGGGTACGTCTTGAGGCCATGTGGCCCACAATGCAACTAAGAGTTTGACTTTACGACTTGCCTCCAAAAAGAGGCACAGAGGACAAAACAAAATGGGTTGACTAGGGAATCCAGAGGGCTGACTTCTATTTCCTTTCATATCCCGCTTTGTTCTGACTTACTCTGTCCATTGTTCCTCAATGAAATCAGTTGTGGATTATGTTCATGGTATACCCTGAAGCATTATAATGGGCATTAAAAATAATAATAACTAACTTTGGATGGCTTTGGACATTGTTCTCTGTGTTTCCTAAACCCAGTTGTCCCTTAGTGTTGTCACCCCATGCAAGCACAAGTCCACTATCTGTGACAGCCAGGGTGTGCATTTGTCCACAAACCACTTGCTTGACTGTGCGTGTTTCAAGTGCATCTACACGAGCTGCAAAATAATCACCACATATATACAAGCATTAAAGGTAAGATACCAAAATCATACAAAATATGTTTGAATTGTGGACTATAGATTTTAACAGAAGAAACATTGTTGCTATCACATCCAAATCAACCATGCCACTATAAAATAACAAGGCAGCAGCTATAAAAAATTGAAATAAGTATTTTTCCTTTGTCCCATACTCGTGACAAGAAGAAAAACATCTTTCTCTATTTCTTTACCGAAATCAAAACTTACCATCTTTCTTATTCTATTTACAGACATGACACTACTGACATCGCTGATCCTTGCAGCATGCAGAACACATGTCATATGAACTCCCTAGTAGACCTTACTCACCATAGAGTCTCTGTGGCTCAGTGGTGGTGTATCGAAGTACAGAATCCATAGGTCTGAGGTTTGATTCCTCATTGGGACTCAGAATTTTATCTTTGTCCCACACTCATGACAAGACAAAAAACATCTTTCTCCAACTACATTAATTTTTTTATCCATGTGTCACATAACATATTGTGCTTCTTGAGATGACAAGGAACTAGTTTTCAACATTTATTATGTTGATCTTTTTGTAGGACTGTATATTCAACAAATAGATTCCATGTTACTGTGTGTCTGTTCAATACTAGATCACAACTGACATCAGAATGTGTTAAGAACACAAAAGTGACACAGGAGCCTCACACATGTTCGTACCACATTTTGACCTCTTTTGTGGTGATTCAAGAAGCAAAACATTATTGATGGTGATGTCATCTACATCTCTGTCCCTCAATAGATCAGAAGTAAGAACCAATCAAGCAAAAAGCATACATAATACAGCTTATCATATAGACATAACTGTGCTTTTGTAACTCATTGACACCCAAGATCTAACAGTAAGTTCTCCACACCACCTGTGATACATTTCATACAATTTTGGCTCTAAGAATTTGGTGTTAAACCACAATATATTCTCTAGTTGATAGTTTACATTCTTGTCATCAACTGCTTTCTTGAAAATGCTTCGATACTGTAAAGGGGAAATCGCTTTTGTTAATCTTGGGAGTGAAAGGCTTAACTATTCCCATAATGTAATCTGTCTTAATTGTTAACATCCCTTTTAGCTCAATCAAAATTCAATCGAAACAAAAATTTTGCTACAAAAGATGAAAATAGCTATGATAGACATTTAACTAGAATACGCGATTTCACTCGGCATATCAATTAAAAATAATAAACTAGCTTTGGAGTAAACATGTAAACAGCAACACCAAAGCGATCGACGTCAACTAGTGATGATCAATAGACTGATTTACCCACCGAACTTTTTTCCATCTTTATTATGCCCAAGTTGTCCATTTTCATTACTTCCACACGTATAAACAACACCGTCCTTTTTCAAGACCGCTGTATGCTCCCAGCCACACACAATGTCTTTAATTTCGGACTCAGTTCCGAAAGTGCTTTCAAGATTCCTTGGAGACAGGATATTTTCGTCCTCAATCTCTCCCAACCCAAGCTGGCCTTCGGAGCATCTACCCCAACAAAACATGGCTATACCATTTTCACTGATACTTCGCTTTCTTTCCTGTACATTGTTGTCCGCATTTGTCCAAAAGTGGCATATTGAAAATGTTAGGGCTCAGACAAATGTTGATGTCATAGTTCCGCCATTATGCGCTAACAGGAATTGGTACCCAGCAATCGCGCGGTCAATGTTCACGATGGGTACAGTGGATAGAGGGAGGAGTGGGGGTGACGAACCCAAGCAAACAATTTGGTATCATCAACTGAGTAACAGTTGATAACGTGACTTGGCCACCGTTGGGAGTTTTAAAATTGACGTTTCGAGCGTGAGCACTACTTAAGCAGTCGTAAAAATAAGGCCTGAAAAAATTCTGTGGTGCGTTTCGACCTCATATGAAATGTCGTCGCCCAGTGACCTGTCAGTGGGTGAGGTTACAGGGTCCGCGAGGGCGTTTCTGATATACCCCTCCACTGACATGTATGTTCCTTATGGGCCCTTCAGTCGTATGAGTTGAACTAATTTCCTTTTAGTATTTTAGGAGTTGGTGAGTGCTTCGTTAAGTTAAGATTTCATTATTATATACCCGAATTTGATTTCAAAATATTGGAATCTATTGATTCAGTTTCTGTCTTATGTGTTAACCCCTCAATCCCTAAAAGTGACCAACATCGAAAAAATTCTCCTTATAGTATCACTTGAGTCAAACATTAAGGATATAAGAATGAAGGAAATGATCCTCAACAGAAGAAGCTCGTGATTGACCACCAAATTCTCCCTGTTGGTACCATAAGGAAAGGGTAAGGTAATATTATGGAAAATTGGTATATCGATGCTAGGTTGTAAAGGGTTGTTGGAACAGGGGCTTCGGTTGCAGTAGATTCAAAGTAACTGTGACGTTCACAACTGGTAAAATGAAGCGTCCTGGAATTTTCCTTCCTTTGAATTTCCTCACAAACCGCAAGAAAGGAACAAAAACCAAACCGGATAGGCACTGTTAAATGGTCTGTATATTTATAAAACTCTTTAAGCGCCATATTACAGACAGCACAGAGATATTAACATTAAATGCAAGCCTTGTTCCCCGGCCCCAGTTTCATTTAACTCCAACAAAGACCGGGGAGCGAGGATGCTCCAACCATGGGGAGTAATCAGAAATATAACAAATTCTTAAGGAAATGATGAAAGTTACATCTCAAGACACTTGCCGACTCTTATATATGTGTTCTACAAACGTAACCCCTAAACCCAGAGTACGGTTCCAATTCTATTTTGTTCAAAATATCATTAAAACTTGAGTAATCAGGAAATTATGTATGTTAAATTTCTCCCAACTTTACCTTGAACAAATGCACAAGGGAAAGTAAGGAGAATTATAAATTGTATCCAGGCTTTAAGGTAGCTCTTTATACTGTACAAAGATCCAAAATACTTATCTACATTGATTTAAGACTTAATGATAAGTTGTTTTTATTTTCTACTCAAGAATAAGGCCACAGATCTCAATATCAAAATTTGAATCAGGTGAAGTATGCTTGCTACTTTAGCTACCTTGGAAGGTCTTGCCATGCCTCCTAAACGCACTGCGTTACCACACGAAGCAGGTTTGAGGAATGTTTGAGCACGATTTCCCGTCAACGGGATGCTTTTTCGTGACAGGAACAAGTACAAATAGATGACAAGTATTTATATCGATAACAACTTGAATGCGGAAACTTGAGGACAAACATCTCCAAAATCTAACACCGCTATCATTAATAAGCAAACGTGTCAAACAGAGTTGAGCAATGAAATATCGTAACCGTAAGACAGTTTGTAAATTGTAAGTTTTTTAAATTTTCTGTAGTCTGTAATATTTCAAGAGCTGTTTGAACACGATTCCTTTAAAAACAAGCACGAGTTTGAAGTGTTTGAGCTTTCAGATTCGCTCAAGAAAACAGATGATAGTGACCTTTTTCTGAGGAAATCAGTTGAGTGCCAAACAGGACTTTCACTTCACATACTCACTCCATGTTTAAAATAAAAAATACATTCTATAAATCGATATCACATTTGGATTAGGAAATGAAAGTTCACGATAGAAATTTAGCAGGTAAAATGCGCAAAAACGGAGATTTAAAATAGAATTAAAATAACAAAATTCAGGCGGAGCGCTCGCTCGGCGACAAACTTCCTTCTTCATTTATCTAAAAAAAATCTATCTTCTCTAACTAAAACATTTACAGGTAAAATAAAACAAAATTATCCGAATCCCGACTTTTAAAACCTTGATAGACGATAAGAACTCGCTAGGTCCGATAAAACTCCCAAACTCTTTGATAATTTTCTTTGTCTGATCCCTTGTAACTGAAAAAAGGATAACTTCTTGGTAATTCACTTTGGTTTCTTTTCAATTTGAAAAGAAATCTTAAGTTACTCCTTAAAAATTCCACGATTTAAAATAGAAGCTATATGTTACAAGTAAATTTCGTTGTAAACTAAACTTACTAACATAAAAGTAAGTACTTAAAAATAATTAAAATGTTCAGATTCGCGAGTCTTTTGGTTCTCCAACAATCATCTCACATGTCCTCGACGGAAACAGACCCGTCCCAGGGCTCCTTTTCATTCTGCATATCTCATTCCAGTCTCTAGTTCATTAAGAACCTGAATGAGAATTTCCAGTCACATGATTAATACTTCTCTGTGTAAATTGTACACTGCATTATGTTGATTTTGTTGATGAGCCGCTGGACCTTCGCCCCAGACCTCCAGAGCTACTGTCGTGAAATTCATTATCACTGGCTTTCCTTTCCGCATCCGGGGAATTGATCGCGAGGGTCTCGAGCGAAGAGGCGGACATTGCCTTCACCTGGGCAATAACGACTTGCGCTTTCATAGCGTCTTCTTCGAGTTCGCGCATGCGCTGTTGTCTCATGGCTGCGCGCTTCTCTGCCTCTAGCGCACGTCTTTCGGCCGCGGTCAAGGTGCGTTTTGGCGACTGCGGAGAGGACGCGTTTATGTCGCTGTTTTGACGTTTGTGATCGATGTTCATCTTTTCAGCTACCTCAGCGTCTCTATTGGCATGTTCCAATCCTTAGGAAATCAAAAGACACAACGATTTGTCAAGGCGGGATTACTTGTCTTAAAACAAACGCGTGACGATAAACTCACAAGTGATTGCAATGTTATGAAATCAACTGATATAGGCTCTAATTCAAGATGTAAAAAGGATTAAAGAGGTTGTGCAATATCTAAGTAGCATTCAAAGGAAACACACTCAGATCCTTGGAAAAATGATTCTTTTTTACAAGGAAATATTATTTACCTGTAACAGCTCTGTTTTGACCCTGAAACAAGGGAAAAACACGAGGGTTAAAAATAAAAAATGTGTAAACAGCCTCTTACAGTTTTATTGTTGTGCTCCTGAAGTAGCGGAATTATTAGACTAGAAACAGACAATGGCCTATTGTGACGTTACTATACGTGGGTAAAGTAGCCTCTGTGATTTTTTTTTCTTTTTTGGGTTTCGCGAGAAACTTTAAAATCATTGCAACACCCAAAATCAGACATGTTTCGTAACAGGGATAAAGCCTGCAAACCACATCTCAACCATATCTTAACCTTGTGCCCTATGATTGTTTGGAGCCGTTGAAGCAAATCATTGACAAAGAAGTTACGCAAACCGCAGTGCTTCTTCCCACGGTAATTACTTCGGTGTGTTTCGAGAGATAAACAATCACATAAAGTGTACTTGAAAACAACGTACCATAAACTCTTTATTATACTCTTTCAAACCATTAGGAAAGTGCTGAAGCCACTTCATTTATTTTATTATTCATTTTTTTTCCATTTGTCAAGTCTATTTCTTGATTTATGCTTGGCGAGCTAACTTTTCAAGGTCAAATTAAGGGCAACAACCGTTTAGTAAATAAATGCAAAAGATAACGGTTGCGAAATAGTTAGGAAACCATTGGCCAAGAATAGTACAGCATAATCTGATGTGATACTCTTACATTCTTGAAAACGTGTGTGATTTTCTTTAACTTAGATACAAGTTACTACTTCGTACGGCCGGATAGTGACAACTAGAAATTTTTTATGCGACGTTCAATAAAGGTGTATAGAGCGGATCAGAACAGGAAAAAATATATCTTACAAGTTTCTCTTCACCGGCTCCTTTGCTTTCTTCAAGACGTTTACGAAGAGCTTCCTGGAAAACAACAGAAGCAATGTTACCAACTAACCAACGGTCATGAAAACAGAAATACTACCAAACACTTGTTCGATATTTCAGAGGTAAAAGTTGAGTACTCTTCGTTAATTTTTCATCTTAACATGATAATTAATATAAGAATGTCGTCATGCAATTCACAGTTAAACACAACTGCTCTGTAAATAAACAAAGTACAGTGATATCAACATGAATACGAAAACTTCTATTTGGATACTTCAAGTTCAGTTGAAAGCGAAAGATGACTAAAGAAGAGGAAAACGAAATATTTTGTGAACATAGAAAGTCCCATTACTGAGAAACGTGATTTAATAGTGTTCATTTTCAGTATTCAAACTTGACTCCCTACTTGTTAAGTACGTCACATGTACGAGAAAATCATCTTAGCCCTTAATGTTGAAAACCTCATTTGTCATCGTAAAATATATTGTTCGTTAATGATCAAATTCGTTTGATCTTCGCAAAAAACAATACAAAATGTTACGACAATTTAAGGGAATTTTGAATAAATCAGGAGTATTCACGAAGAGAAAGTAAAAGCAATGTTCAAATATATAACACAAGGAACCTTTAAACGCCGATGTAGAAAAATAGGGAGCAATGAGTATCACTGTCTTAGACAATCACAGAAGTACGAATGGACAAAATTTGGCGAGAAATGAAGTAAATAAACGCTGCTGACAAAATTGTATGCACACAGACGATCGAACAAAACATGAATATAAATTTTGCAGTTTCACGGTTCTTGTCACGCAAAACACACCAATCAATGACACACTCCTAAACCAGAATACAAACTTTGTGAAATCAACTATCCGAACGTGTTTGGAGTCATCCCACGTTCTCACAATATTACAATCTCTTTATAATTATCTGCTGCAGCCAGTGGTGACAATTAGAATCGAATGTTTGTGAAAACAATACCGCGATTCTGAGCAAACAGAAACTAAAATCTGACGATTCCCTAGAAATATACCCATGCATCCTCAGCACAATTTGTAACAAGAACCGAAAGGTTTCTTTTTTTTTTTAACAGATGTATCGAACTCAATAGAGAACACAACTTGTGAACTACACTATTACCGATTTCGACCATCGATTAATTCACGTGTACAAAATTAACCTCACTGCAAGGGCTAAAGGGTGGTTCTCACTACCGCTACCGATCTACAACAAAATAATGACAGCAGTCAGTGTTACCTCCGAAGGACCTCGAAATCGACAGCCCACCAAACAGACGGCAAACATTTCGCGTGGAGGCATCAAAGCGAAGAAGGTAGATCAAACAGATAGAGATATTTTTGTTGTCTGACGAACAACGAAGAGAGGAAGTCGAATGAAAACTGCAAATGACGCGCGAAATATAACCACAAATCGAAAGAACTGAAGCGTAACCTCCTGACAGCCACTTAAAAGTACCACCCACGAGAAACAATGTAATCGACGGTCCACTAACCTGTCTCTCCTGTTCTTCTCTCTCCCACCGTTCGGTTTCCTTTCTAGCTTCTTCTTCCTAATAAAAAAACGACAACAATGGAAGTTAAAATACCAATTTATAAATGCCTTTTGAAGAGTAGAGGGACATGGACGCTTCGAAGGAAAACTGGAGTCATGATGGGATAAATTATATTCCTACGCAAACACAGAGGAACAGTTCTTAAATATAGCAATTAAACACGGCTACACTTGAACTTCTCTCGTAAATTGGGAGACGATGAAATGACAAAGGGCTTTTTTGGTTGATGTCAACTCGCAGTTAACCAACATGGGGGTAAAAATAAGGCAACAACCAACATCACACGCACAAAATAACCACTACACACGAACAACCGAGCGAAATAAAAAGTACCAATTTGTCCTTGACGTGCTGTTGTAGAATTGACATAATATCAATTTTAGCCATTTTATAACGTCAGAGCTATGTATTCGATCGATTGTCATCCAGTATCATTCAATACACTTCAAAATCTGAGAGCAACTTGCTCTTAACAAGCGATTTAATATAGAGCCTGGAGCATCTTACCAACCCAGTACATGCCACTTGTTCTTTATATTCAAACAAAGAAGAGCTTTATGAGCAGCGAACACGTCACAACGATTGTTTACTTAAATCAAATACGCCAACGAAATTGACTATTTGATACACAGGTAATCCCAAGAAAATAAAATAAACCGGAAAAATGACGAAGAAATAGTCGAGAGTGTTTTTTAAGACTGAAAAATAATTGAAAATCTTCCGTAAATGGACACAATTCGATTTGGTGATTGGTTTTGCGATGGAGTGATTTGCATTTCAGACAATGTAGTTGGCACGCTCGCTGCAATAGGTCTAATATTAGAGGTCGGTCTCTTGTTACAGAGAACGGAAATTTAGATCAACACGCGCGTTTGACAAAACCATTCCAGCAGTTCTTATAAGAAATTATTCATTACCATCTCTAAACGCTATTGAGTGCAGAGCAAAGACACTCCTTTCTCCAAACTCTAAACAATCAGTTATAAAAGAAAACTAGAGACATGCTTTCTCCTTTAAATCCTCGCAGAGCTGTTAATTATCATTCAAGGTTTCCTTTTGTTCAATATCTATCCCAATGTTCGTTGAACAAATGAGTGGCTTAAGTGCTAACCGAGTGCACACATTTAAAAAGCTTCGATAAGCCTTTTTCAATAAAGTTAAGTACTTTAGGAAATAAAATTTAGCCTGCCTGTCATCATTAACAGGTCTGAATACTGCAAAACGTCTCCTGAGTCACTTTAAACAGAGTAACAGATATTTCATTCATTCGAAGCACCAAGAAGATGTAACATGTATTTGCCAAAAAGAAAACACTTTCAATTTTATAACGTTTATTTTATCGAGCTGTCTTACGTAGAAGAGGAGGAAAATGCTTTTGCAAAAGGGATTAACTAGGAACATAAAAAACTTACGTGTATTTTACAAATTTTTTTTGCGTTGTTTACGGGTTTAACATTCACGCACCGTTAAAATGACTTTTTATCGAAGAGGAAAATTTTCTTCCCTAAGAACTTCTCAGTTCAATAGCAAAGCGAAATTCTCTTCGGAAACTCTCTAGCGCC